GAGGAGGAGGAGGAGGAGGAGGAGGAGTGGTTTTATAATGACAGGCCCACAACCAACTAAGTGACATGCATTTATTTTAAATGCATGTCACTTAGTTTAAACTGAGGTCAGTAGTCTTAAGCACATCTGATTATGCACAGACACACCTCCTAGACCTCAGAGGTCTGAAAATAATTTATTTTATATACTGTATATAAAAATTATTTTCAGTATTTACTGGGCCCAGATAAGCTCTCTTATGCCCTCTAATGGCCAAACATTTCCTAAAAATCCCCACAATATTCTCTCTCTCTCTCTCTCTCTCTCTCTGTGTCTGTGTGTGTGTCTGTGTCTGTGTCTGTGTAGGCTCCCACCAACCCTGAAAGCCACACGATGACTTTTTGACCAACCTTTTTTCAGACAAAAACAAAAAACAAGATGCTAATTTGCAGAGGGGTGGCGGTCTGAAGGCCATATGCCGCCCAAGCACACTCATGAGTTATAATATATTCACAGAAATTCTTCAGTTATCAAAATCCCCTACCACTATTTCCTTCAATGCCTGTTAACAATAACAAGTAATAGAATTTATTTAGTGTGCAATTCAAACACAGAAGCTTCATGCTGTTGTTCATACTTTGTACTACTTATTATTCTTTATATTATTGATCTCAATATAGCCCTTCATCATTATATTTACTACTGAAAAGGGAAAAGTCCCCAAAACAGGGGTCTCTCCCCCTTAAATTTCAAATTCTGTAACATTTGTTATCATCTGTGTTTTTCTTGAGAAATACTGAGTCAAAAATAGACTGGGTATATTATCTTTTTTTCTATTGACAAGAAGGTGAAATCAACACATTCTAGGCAACTTTACATAATTCTGTCGGATGCTGGTCTGTGTATTACATACTTGGTGCATTCTTCTAAAGACTGTACAAGCATTTGCTGAAAAGAGCTGATTTCTTCTAGGTTTCCCATTAAATATGAAGTATCTGTAGAGTTTAACCTGAAAACAGGAAAATAATCTTTGAGCTTGGACCAAAACAAAAAAACAAACAAACAAAAACCCACCCTTCCAAAATTTAAACTTTTGCTTATAGCAAAGAACTGGTTTCTGATTTAAGAAGCACAGAATCCTTTGCTTTGCCATGTACTCCACTCTCACCCTCCGCAACCCCCTAACTCCACATTTCATCTCAGGAACTAGCAGAGCTTTTCCTTTAAAATATAGTTTCTAAATCATTTTGGAAATGGATCCAGAAAGGTGCTCCCCTACCTCCATAGTCGGCTTCACATACGAACAAAAGGAGCCAGGCTCCTTTACAATACACAAAGACATCTGAGAGGCATGTTTCAATGCATTATTTAACCTGCATGAAAACCAGGGAGAGTACCAGCTGCCAAACCAGCTCACCAAGGATGTGATGAGGAGGCTGCAATGGCATGTGCCTAAATCCACCAGAAAGTCACTTTAAATGGGGAAAAACTCCTTTAAGATAACCCTTTTATCTGCTGTGGAGTAGGAAGCCCTATAGCTGGAGTGGGAAAAAGGGGCATGGTTTGGATTTGGGCTGGAGCACATTTCCCTGTATGTCATGTGACCACTGGGAAATAGCTCACACTAGATCACACTGCCAACAGTCCAAATTGCAAATTATTTCACCAGGTGATCACACCTTAAGAGACAAGAACTAGAGAATACAATAATGGGCAATACTACCAAAGCAAGTAGAATATGAGAATGATAAGAGCCCACAGTGGTAGCCTAATATGCCCTTCTCAAGGACTTTATTTTTCCTGCTATATATATTTCTAGAAGCTGCCTTTCATCCAGTGGGGTCCACAGGAACCATTGAGTATAATGTCAGAGAATATTCATGAATATTCATATTCATGAAGACTTGCACATGCTGCAAGGAAAGAACCACTTAAAAACTATAGCCTCCATTCTACCCTAAAATGGGAGGCATGCCTGTTATTGTGTGCGTCTTTACTGCAGCAGTACGGACACCCACTGTGACTGAAACGTCACAAAGTACAAAGGAGCACCACGTGTTATGCCAGCATCTTCTCAATAGAAGATTGTACTTACTTTTCACTAACTTGCAAGGGCCGTAAGTAGTTAGAAAGCATGGTCTGTAGCTCTTTAGCATACTCATTTTCTGTTTCTAGAATGTTTTGTAGCACCTGTAATACATTAAGACATATTATTACAATTTCAAAATATCAGAGAAAGAAACAGTCAGCACCAAGAAACTTTACTCCTCCAGAAGCCTCTAGATCAGGCTTGGAAAGACCACTGTTGGGAACCTTTGAAAAGTGCTTCCAATCAGTGTCGATAGGGCCAAGCTAGATAAAAATCGTGAAGAACCGTGTGCACACAGTCAGTCTAAACAGAATACATATGAACATCATGGTCATTCCAGCAGAGAGTGCGGATCCAGCCAGACATACAACCAAATGCCATGTCGTGGAAACTTCCCCTCTCTACACATCTGTATAACCATCAATTAAACATCAAATCATCCATAGTGTCCAGAAACAATGGCTAAAATTCTATTGTGCTGCAACACAAAAGGTGTTTCCTCCTATAGAATAAAGTTGCCTCCAGTTAAGAAATCTGCACAGACATTATCTGTTGCATGCAGAACTGGGAATAAAGTTGCCTCCAGTTAAGAAATCTCCACAGACATTATCTGTTGCATGCAGAACTGGGTGACTCAATATACAACAGATAATGTCTACAGAAATTTCTTAACTTGAGCCAATTCATCTCCAAAACCTATGCTTTTTGTATAGTACTGTAATGGGATTTTAGGTAATATGTTGCACAATGTGTTTTACTCTTTTATACTTAAGACTGCTACTCCATTTGAAAATTCCTTTTGCTTCCAGTTTGGTAACCCAAATATAATATATGATTGCTCTCACAAAATTCCTACAACCTTCAGATACACTGGACTAGCCACATTATTCAATACTGCAGTATACAGTCTGTTTGGGATATAAAACAGTTATTCATGCCAGTATGAAAACCTGATGAAACCAGTGACATGCCAAACTATTTAAAATGGAAAATTCACTGCTCCTTTCATTGGTCTTGCCAGATGCTATTTTATTCCCTTGAATAGGCTTATTCAGTTGAAGAGGGTGAGGGGAGGGAGACCATTTCTGAGTTCATTCTTTTGTTGGTAACTTGACTCCTGCCCCAAAGATTAAAATGTCTCTATTCTGTGAGAAGCCCTGCGAAGGACAGATGTCACAAAGAACACACCAGCTATTAATTAGCCAGTTTCAAATGTGTAATACCACACTTGCACAAGAGAAGCAGAAAGATTAATAAATTATATTTTGCAAAGCAAAAGATAGTGATGAAATGTCAGTGGACCACAATGTTCTCAACACATAAAACCCCAAGCTACATGCAAGAAAATCAGAGACAGGTTGTTACCCACTGAAATATGAAACTAGTAATGGGGGGGGGGGGGTAGCTGACAACGGCAAGCAAAACGACATTTTAGTTGACTGTAAACTTGAGTTTCAAGAATATACTTGAAATATATTTAAACTCTCCCTTACATACTTATAAAAGAGCCTTGGTAGAAGAGGGTTATTGACATCCAGGATTCATGCCCACTCACTTTATTTAAAAGGTTTTAAATTATCATAATGCTTCTGCGTTTCCCACTGTCTTTAAGAAGGCTTCACTTACCTACCCACCCAGGCTGGAGAAGCTATGAAGTACTCTACAGTATGTTTACAGTATTCTGTAAGTTACAGGGCACCAAATATAGAACACCTCATTTTCAGCACATCTGCACTTCACAGTTTTCTAACCTCACCATTAAATTTGTCGGTTCTATCATGTTTCCCCAAAAATAAGACAGGATCTTATATTAATTTTTGCTCCAAAAATGCATTAGGGCTCATTTTCAGGAGATGTTTAATTTTACAGTCATGTCATCTTTTGGTTGCTGCACAATGGTGGAGGGCAGGGTTTCACTTAACTAGGGCTTATTTTTAGGGTACGGCTTATATTATGAGCATCCTGAAAAATCACACTACGGCTTATTTTCAGGTTAGGTCTTATTTTCAGGGAAACAGGGTAAGAATAATCACCTTTCTCTTCTTCCTTGCTTTCTGCACATGCTGGCTGCTGCAAGACCCCATGAGATTTCAAAGACCTTGTTCCAAATGCTTCATCACCATTTGATGAAACTAGGAACCAAATGTGAGTTGCTTTCACATACATGATAACTCTTTATAGTCTGCAGCACAAATGAAAAGCACAGAGAACTGAATTCATTCAGTGTGAGCTCTCTCTCTCAGTCACAAGGCACAAAAGAAGAAAAAAAATCATGTCTAATAGTTCACTCACACAAAGCCCAATTATCTTTCCTAAAGCTCTAACTAGAGTGTGGCTTTAAGCAGGTTATTTCAGGAACACTTGTTCAATGACAGGTGTAAGGAAACTGAGGGCTACTTAAAAAATATAGTTTCTCTCATTAAAAAGAGGGGACGGAAAGAAATGAGCATATGGGGAAGTCTGTATAGAGAGCACTGTTCAAAATAAAAGCAAAATACACATTTGCATGACCCTCAAGGGCAACCACCCCCGCTTCTAAGAAACTGAACAAGTTAGTTACTACATAAGTAAAGGTAAAGGTTCCCCTTGACATTTAGTTCAATCGTGTCTGATTCTAGGGTGCGGTGCTCATCCCCGTTTCCAAGCCACAGAGGCAGCGTTTGTCCGAAGATAGTTTCCGTGGCCACATGGCCAGCACAATTAGACACGGAACACCATTACCTTCCCACCAAGGCGGTACCTATTCATCTACTCACATTTTTACATGCTTTCAAACTGCTAGGTTGGCAGGATAGAGTTACTACATAACAAACAGTAAAAAAATGGATGATGTGCAGATAATTCTAATCTATAAATGTTTACATATTCATATCTTAAAAAGGAGGAAATCACTGCTGAAATATGATTTAGTACTGCAGAGGTCAGGGTTAAATGTATACAGACTGATGAAAGGAAATTCCCCAGGACTTGGTCACTAACTCATTTTAGGAAAACTTCTTCAGTTCCACTGTCTCTTTTGAGATATTCAACTGAGTGCATAGATAGGAGTATAATCATTATGAGGATGCATATAAGTCCCACCCGATATTCTTGTGACCCAGAAGTCAGTTAAACCTTTCCATGTTGTAAAGATGTTTGGCTGAAAATGCATAATTTTACTCAGCAGAACTTCCTTAACATCTTGGTGCCAGACCTTCACCTTCAGTGCACCAAGGTTTTACTTGCACCTAAAGAGGACAGCCAAGCAAGGCTTGCTGGTGGGCCTCACTCCTACTATGATTATAGCACTAATCAAGCATTCAAGCAAATGTCTGAATCAGGATAGAGATAAAGAAGCACACATAGCACACAGGTTTTTTACTGATCAATATCCCAAGTGCAGCATCCTTGTCATTAATCTCACTCAGCAGCCTGGGGATCTTGAGTCTTTACCCGTAACTTGAAAAATATTTCACCACAGATGTTTCAGCCAGAATAGCTGGGGGGGTGTCTTTGTGATGGGAGCTAGAATACAGCAACATCAGGATGGTCACATTTCCTTTTCTCTGATAAGAAATAACATTCCCTCTTGGAAGCGAATAAATTTTTTCCACAATTACTTAATGCTTCCCCTTCCAAATATATGGCCCAATGATACCACATGGAACTGGAAATGTTCTGCAAATCTAGCCTTCAGTTCCTTGTATCAGATCCACATCTTACAGTGCGGACATTACTAAGACATGAATAAACATTCTTCTTTTATTTGGCTCAAAAGAACAGGAACAGGATTGGCAAAACCTAACCATGCCCTAACATTCACAGCCTTTCAAACATAAACAAAAACACACCCCACTGCTACAGTGGTGCCTCGCTTAACGAGTGGAACAAAAACACAACCCACTGCTATTTTTAAAAAAAGTTCAGCTGAAATCTGAATCAGCCCATGCAGTATCCTAGACCCTCACTGCATCTCTTCCTCTTAAGGCCAAATTTTTGGGGGAAAGCAGTGGCAGAGCTTCTGCATGAAGATGAACTCAAAAGGGGGAAAGCAGACAGAGCTTCTGCATGAAGATGAACTCAAAATATCTCTAAGGACATCCCAGTCATAAAAATACAGTAACATACAAGAAAACAAAGAGTTCAGCAGCACTGCCTCACAATAATGATACTGTCTCTGTTCCTACAGGAGCCAGGTTTACATGAGGTGAATCAGATCAGGTAGGCCCCATGGGTCATGAAGTCCAAAGACCTGACCTGAAGTAACATTCCTTAGAGCTCTGTTAATGCAAACTAAACTCTTTTACTTTGGTTATGGATGCTAAGAAACAAACGAACAAACCATGCATCACAGACAGATGTACATGTGGGTAAAGAGGAGATAAAGAAGTGCTCATCAGCCTAAATTACCCTGGATTGCAATCCTAACTAGACAAAATTGCTGAAAGCCAGCTGAACTGACACTAAACCAGCAGAGGCTGTGCTGAATGGCTAGCTGAACTGACACTAAACCCGCAGAGGCTGTGCTGAATCCAAACCCTTCCAAGCCTAAGGAGCCTGGTAATGATTCAGGGCTACATTGACCCTGGTTTAACTTTGTGCTGGCACTATCACTGCACGGCTAAGGTGAGAGAAGTTTGGATCTGACATAATTCAGCACTTCCCCGACTCCTCCCTTTCTCTGCCCGTTTTTCAGCTCTTCTGCTAGCTGAGCTGTGCTGGCAGATCCATTTGTGCCAGGACACAGAAAAAGTGTTGTGCCAGCAAAACAAGCATCTACCCATTCCAAACTTATCACAGTTGGTATGGTGCCAGTCTCACCAACAACAGTACAATGTGTTACTCTCTAAACTGCTGCTGAATTCAATGAGACTGATTTCTGAGTAGACATCTACAGAGGTGCATTGTGACTCATGTTCACTTTAAACTATACACAGTGCTATTCTCACTTGTTCATTCCCATAGTACCTGTGTCTCACTATATACATCTTCCATGTTTCCCCCTTTTTTAACCAATATAGAAAATGTTTTTAATATATCCCTGTATCAGGTTCTCCTTCATACAACTACTATCCATTACAGTTTGTGGGTTGATGAATTTAAAAAAAAAATACAAGTGTTTGCCTGTTGTATAGTTTTTTTTTTCTTTACAGCATTCCTCTTTTTGGTTTCTCTCTGACTTAACCCAGCCCTTCAGAATTCAAAGTGCTGGTTCTAACCTAAAGTCCTAAATGGGTTGAGGCTATCTCAAGGACCACATCTCCCTTTATGAGTCTGTTCAGATGTTAAGATCATCAGGAGAGACCTTTCTCTCAACCCCACTACCATCATAGCACTCATTGGTGGGGACGTGGGAGAGTGTTGCTGCTCCCAGACTCCAGAACTCCCTCCCACAAGAGGCCAGGTTGGCCCCATCTTTGCTGTCCTTCCACAAGCAGGCAAAGATCTTTCTCTTCATGCAAGCTTTCCCTTAGTCCAGGCTATTTGAGTGGAGTTTTTTTAATTGGTTGTTTTGCCTTACTGCTTTAAATGTGTATCTGATGTTGGGTTTGTTTACCATTTCTAGCATGGTATTTATTTGATCCTTATCAATACTTATTGTTTTTAGCTTTAAATATTGTCTTTCAATGATCTTAGCTTCCTCAGAGGGGAATAAACAAAGTAAACAAAAGTGAAATGACAGGTAGAAATCAACACTGAAAGTCAGAACAGCTCAAGCGCACCTTCATGAAATAAAAATGAAACCCCAGTGTTCAGTTTTATTAAAATATTCGTATTTGGGGGAAAGTCAAATTTGTTCTTTGCTTATTCAGAAAAAAAAAACCAACGGGAGGCGGGCTGTGGCAGCAGCAGAGCCTGAAGTGGCAGTGGAAGGGGGAATTCTGGGAACGGAGATGCCTCAAGACCCCACTCTGGGTCCGCCGCCAGAGCCAGCTGCTCCGGATGCTTGCCCACTGCCTGTTGGTGCCATCACCATGGCTGCAGCCGCCTCCTGAGATTTGGCTGCAGGAGGGGGGGAGTAGCGATCTGGCAACTTATGGCTTGTGTGCCCGCAGAAAGGGCTCTTCGAGCTAGCTGTGGCACGTATGTCAGAGGTTATCCTTCGCTTGTCTAGGTCCTTCGAGCCAGCTGTGGCACGTATGCCAGAGGTTATCCTTCGCTTGTCTAGGTCCTATAAAAATCTGTGGCTGTGACTATATTATCAAATACAACAGGACTTGCTCCAGTTATAAAATGGATGATTTTTAAAATTTACTTATCACATGACACAAGGAGAATGTGAATCAGTCAGGCCCTCTTTGCTTCCAACACAGAGGCTTTCTCTGCTGCCGGGGGCTTCCACTTTTTTTAAGCTGGAATGATTTGAAAGGACTTTTCCCCAAGTGATCATTTCTTTCATTCTGCAAAAGGATGGTGAGGCATATCAGTGGGTGTTGTTGTAACGTAGGCAGTTGGGACATGATGTTTAGGGACCACAGGAACACCTTCCCCGATGATCTCCCCAGAGGTGTTTTTTTTTTTAAAATAAACGAGTCTAGCATTGAATTGTTGCACTGATATATTGCTATACCAATTTAATGCTAGATCACTGCAGCATGGGGGGGGGATAAAAATTGCTATTAAACAGAAACACCTCCAGAGAAATACAGAAGAATACTTATGTTTCTGTGGTATGTGTACCATATGTACATTCTGTGGTATGTGTACATTATGCCCCCTTCCAATGTGTTTTTAAAGTTGTAAGTACTACCCTGTTTCCCTGAAAATAAGACCTAACCAGAAAATAAGACCTACTGTAGTATGATTTTTTAAGGATGCTCATAATATAAGCCCTACTCCAAAGATAAGCCCCAGTTAAGTGAAACCCCGCCCTCCACCATTGTGAAGCTAACAGAAGAAGACGACGTGACTGTATTTGAATAAATGTAGATTGTTGTACATGAAAAAAATAAAACATCCCCTGAAAATAAGCCCCAATGTGTTGTTTGGAGCAAAAATGAATATAAGACCCTGTCTTATTTTTGGGGAAACACGGTACGTTTCCCTAGTGCTGCACAACTCTTTAAAAACCAAGAAGCTTCACAGTGAACCATAGAATAGAGGAAGAAAGGAAGAGGGGGTTGGGTGTGTCGGTATAGTCGCAGTTTATCTGTGAATCCCAAACATTATAAGGAGAAATGGTTCAGAAACTAGTAGAAAACATTCAAAGAAAAGATACCATGCTACAGAACACCTGCCAAGGACATTTCTAAAAATCTTATAAATTGTATTGGCCAGCTACCTGTTGATAAGGATGTACAGCAGCCTCATCATATCCAAGGGAGAATGGTGAAAAATCTGTACCTACTCCCTGAAAACCAGTGTTTTTAACTGCCTCCTAAATGAGTATAGGGAGAGGGCCAGGTGTAGCTCCTCTGGGAGCTGATTCCATAACCTCAGTGCCACCACCAAGAAAACCCTACCTCTAGTAGTTGACTTCTGGGCCTCTCTCAGGGTGGCTACACAGAGGAGCCTGGCCTGAGAAGAGGTGGTGGGTCAGGCAGATGACATTGGGGTTATGTCATTCCAATACTAATCAGTTTCTAAAAAGCAGTCTTCTTTAAGGCAAGCCTGTGAGCTTCTCAGCTACATGCAGTAATATACCAAAGATTTAACAATGCCCTGGTTTGTCAGTGGCCTTGGAATTACAAAAACAGAAGTTATTGTCAGGCATATAGGGCCAGCGTGCTGTGCATATCTTGGCCAATTGGGAATTATACCTGTCTGACTAAGGATGCCTAGTTTCTACAAATGAAAGAATATCCTTTGCACAAATAATGACCTCAGCCACTACAGTGTTCCAGCCTTAAGAAACTACTGATAAACTGTCCATATTAATATTAACCGAAATATCACTCACCACATTGTAATAGCTTTTGCTAATAGCTGATGTATCAAACCCTTTTGGAGGGCTCTTCAGTGATCCTGATTTGGGGGAGACTGGTTTTTCTGAAATACACAGAATGTTTTCATACATGAAATTTCATGGCTCAAACACCAGAGGTCAAATAATGTGCTTTCCTTAGTGCGGTCACAAGATTCAGAACAATTTGCTTACAAATGCAAGGACTATTGTGGCCAATTCAGTCACATCTTGGCTCACAAACTAAGAGATGGACACATTTTCTACCCCCCATCCCCATGGACTGCAATAAGCCCATCATCTTAAGTTAACAAAAGTTTTCCATTATGTTTGAATTAGAAAACTATGGCTTCCAATTTCAGAACAAGCCATGATTAATACAAATAAATATAGTATGGGCTGGGATAGACTGCATAGTCACAAAATGATAAAGTTACACAAACCTTCATCAAGCAAACAAAACTAGAGCTGAGCTTCCCCAAGTGTGCACCACAGCACCCCTCACGGTACCCCACGGCCCCTTGTGCCTCCAAATCAGCCAGGAACAATGCAGAAGCTTTCCTTTGTTTTTTTGCCAAGCCAACTGTGCTGCTGCTATTGCTCTTTCGGCTGGCTCTGGCTCCTTTCTGCTTCTTCATTTCCTGCTCCGCATAGCACCCTTCGCCACTCTTCCTGCGCTGCCATCACCACTGCCACGCAGGGGAGCCATGACTGGAAAACATTTGGGAAACACTGAACTAGACCATTTATAAAACAGGCTCTTGAAACTTACCATTTGATTTTACTTCTCGTACATAATTGCTGGGAAACCAGCCTGTCTTGCCATTATGAGTTCCTTCCCACCAGCCTCCTTCTTCTACTCTTGTGACATGGATAATGTCTCCTTTTGTAAAAGAAAGTTCATCTTCATTGGTCTGCTGAAAATTAAATTTTGCTCTTACCACCAATTGGTGGTTGCTATTATCTGTCATATCCTAGAAGTGAAGAGAAATACATAGTTTTAGAAGATGTTCAAAATACGTCTAGGCAGAAAATAAATTAGTGAGGATTACATAAAAGCAGGTGCAGTGGCTTTTTCATATCTGTGAATTTGAGTCATGTTTCTTATGAAGCACGAATTAAGGGGAGAGGTTAAAATGGGCCAGCACTTACCAGACTCCGATACTGGCCTTGAAAAAGTTTTGATGTTCTGCTATGTAGAGATTGGGATCCCAAGGAATCAAAAGACTTTATCCGGTGAGATGATGGCCTTGCACACACAGAATCACTTCCAAGTCCAATATCTGAAAAGTTAACCAGAAAAATACATGAAATTCAAAAAGGACACATGTAGTCACATGCATGCTAGAGACAAGGAGTGAAACTTGGTTTCCTAAAATATAAGCATGCAAGTGAGAGAAAGGAGCACATAAAACTGAAAAACTCAGCACACCCACAAGGATGTCAGTTCATTTAAGTCTGTGGAACTACATCAGCCATTCCTCCGATTTGATGCACTGGACATCAAAAGTGTAAAAGAAACTGGGCTGGAGAAGATCCTCAGAGTCAATAGGGACCCAACAGATATGCAAGAAAAATGAAAGACACTGATTGTCTTAAGCCTGTGCCCTACAAAGTAAGAAGAAACTGAGCTCCATGAATGTACACTCACATGTATGCATGTGTTATTTCCTGTTTGGGGGCTTAAATTCCCAGAATTTTCCAAGAACTTCATGAATTGCAGCTTGGAAGCGCAAATCAACACACCTGTAGCTCCCTACCCCCTCCCCAATAAAAGCTCTTGAATGATGGGCAGCATGGGAATGGAATGAAATGGAATGAATGAATATACCAGAACCATCAGCTCCTCCAGCTTCCCTGTTTCTCGTTGCTTCCCACTGGATTTGTTTTGTTTTTGTTTTTTTAAAAGGAAAGAAAGCTGTCATTGCACTTCTTGGGAGTCACAGTACCTAATTGACAATGAGACAATAACTCTCAAAAAGCACTGTGGCAGCTTCCTGTTTTAAATAAATTGAAAACAGACAGCAACAGGAAGCAGGAAAGCCAGAGAAACTCTATCACTCAAAAACCCTTCCCAGAGAGAAGGTCAAAACTTACAGGTGTTTGTGGGCTGAAATTCCTGGAATTCTTGAACTCTGCAAAGTAAGGTCCAAAACCCATGAAAGAAAACATCCTTATTCACAGACGCACACTGTCCAAATTCATTTTCCTCCACTCACTCTCCTAAATATCCTTTCAAATGCAGGCAGAAATGCCTCTTCTCAATTCAAGGGACCATGGAATAAACTGGACACATATCCCCACATATTAGGAATAATATATGTAGCCACATCACTTTCTCATTGTAGTGCTTTTATTAGAATATACAAAGGTATACATTCAAATCCACAACAGACACAAATGTACTTGAAACTCCAAAGTTCTCAATCCCAAAAGTGATCATGCAGCCTCATGAGTAGATTTCAATTGAGCCAGACAACTAATACGGGAGATGAAGAAGGCAAAATCCCTGTCGTATTTGTCCTACTCATCATCAACAACATCGGGAATGGGTTAAACAAAAAATCAAAAGAATACAGAAATCAGGCTTTTTATGAAGTGATGTATTTAAATTAAGTTTGTCTAAATATTTAGCCTCCCTTTTAGCAGACAAGACAATTGCCTTTGTCAACAGATGATATGGGAATTGTATTCCACCAAAATTAAAAAGTTTCATGCACATAATTCAGGTCTTAAATTTATCCCTAGCAACAATTAGACCCTTTCTCCACCTGCAAGCCCACTGCAGCCTATTCTCTCTCTTCTTCTGAAGGGAAGAGCCTAGAATCATATGTCAAGGATCAGGACACACTGCTGAAAATCAAAAGGAAAAAGTTTTGCTTAGTTAATCCTGCTTGCTTAATGCAGTCACTCAGGTCCAGCTCTTTTATTTAAGAAGCCATGCAGAGTTTACAAACAGCTAGCAGTGGATGGTGGGATGGGAATCCCAAGAGAAGAACAGTAAGTGTAATGTACTGAAATGTTTCTAATAAATGGGAACTGACATTATTCAAATTTGAATCACAGAATCTTTTCTATAGAAAAAGAAGTAAAAATAAAAAATAGAAGAATGAGAAAAGGAGGGAAGAATATTTATATCAAATAAATAGCAAGGTTAAGATAACAAGCAAAGAAATAGCTATAGGAACAGCTTTTAAGCCTGTAAAATGGATTTTGTTTACCTGCTGTTACTTTATTTAGTGCAACTAAGGAGCTGAGCACCTTGTTGAAGTTTTGACCTTGATAGAGATCATTTGCATCAAAGGTCTAAAAAAGAAGCAAAAATACATATTACATATGCATTGGATATATATATTCACTAGAAGGTTTTAACAAAACCTGTTTTAAAATATTTCATCTGCATTTCATCCAGTAGTTTATTTACACATATTCTCCCTCTCCCGATGATTTTTTTTCCTAAAACTGACATGTATATTTACTCAAATGAAAGCCATGCTAATGGCTTTGGTTTGCTTCAAAATGTGCACACAGCTAGTCCTATATATGTATGCTTGAGAATAAGACCCAAAAAAGACAGTGGGAGTTACTTCAGAGTATGTATGCAAAGGGTCAGGCAGTTAATGACTTTTCAGAACAGATGTTGCAATGCCATCCAAACATGACAAACAAAGGGAGTTTTCACATGTGAAGCTCCAAATGTGGCTGGGCTTAACGCATAAAGCTTTTACACTTGCATGTAGATTTAATAGTACAGTAGTCTAAACTTAGTCTACGATGAAAACTTAAACCTACAGATTCCATTCAGGTTTAAATCTCTCTTCCTCATTTTCTTCCACACAGAAAACCATCACATGTAGCATAAGTGACACTCAAGCATATTTATCCAAAATCATGGAAACATTTAAAAGACACAAAACATATATCCATCTCATCTAGTGTAACTAGGCAGTGATAGATAGTTTCCCCCTTTCCACAGCCCCCCCAACGGACACGGTGGGGAAAAATGCTGAAAGTTCCTCTTCTGTAAAAGCCAGAAGGAAACACCCTGTAATGTGGCTATTTGGGGGGGGGGGGGACTGAAGTGCAAATTAAGTTTTTTAAAATCATCCAGCCAATTACTTGTGACTTTTAAGACTAAAGCCAGAACACTGTTGGGGAAATACAGTGTACCAGGGCAAGCAGCTTCTTCCCTCTGGTAGCCATCCTTTCTGCAAGTGGCAATGAATCAGGTGCAAAAGTGAGTACACAACTAATTATGCAATAGACAACCCAAAAGAATAAGGAAACTGCAGCATAATTGCCCATTTATGCATATTTTTTTACAACAAGACTTTGGTTTTGCTTGGTTTTGTTTTAGTTTTAGTCTGTTGTATCATGTATTTTGTTTGTTATTATTTAATTGCTGTGTCGTAACATTGCTTAAGTATATAAACCACCCCAAGCAATGTTTCACTACTTTTAGACCAGTGGTCTAAAAGCTCAATAAATAAAATAGATTTATTTCAATATGAATTTTTATGTATTACAATCAAGGTTCCCTCTAAGTTTTGTGGCTGAGTGCACAAGGGCTCCTCCTCCACCCCCCTCTGTGCAATGTTCCTCCTCCTCCTCCTCCACTCACAGACAGTCATTTCCAACCCCTTTGGTTCCAGTCCCAATGGAACACCACTGGGGGGGGGAGAGTCACGTGCACAAGGGGCCAGCCCCACCCAGTGGGGCTGAAAACTAGAACATTGATTGCAATCCACTTTTTCAGTAAGTAGATGTGATGATACGGTTGGCATCTTCTCTGAAAGGCCCGCTCAAGTCCCAACAATGTCCCTATAACATCAGGGACACATTTATTTGTTCATCTCCTAAATCAGGGGTCTCCAAACTTTTTACAGTGAGGGCCACATCAGATATTTTCAAAGTCTTTAAAGGACGAAGAAACAGGATTGTGTCCATGAGCATATGCACGGCCGCACGCGCGCACACACCCCTGCCCCGCCCGTGCATGCACCGGCTGAAGGGAATGGGCCAGACAAAAGGATGTGGCCTGTGCGCCATAGTTTGGAGGCCCCTGTCCTAAAGATATAAACAGCATCTTCTGCCAGCAGTATACCCTCCCTCTGCATTCCACATAAGGCAGAAAGGACAGTGTCTATGCAAGGGAACACAGGACACAAATCTGACATCAGAAATGGCAACACACAAACCCCACTGTGAGAGTTATTTTAACTTCCCAAGATATTGATCTTGTGATTATTGTAGAAAAATTGAATTTCAAAAGCAGATTGGAGAGAGGAGGAGATATACTGAGAAATACAAATACCAGTCTATAAGTAAAGGCTTGAATGATAACTGGGGGTTCTTATCATATTATGTATATTATAAACTTGTTTTCATAGTAGCCATAAAACTTATTTTCTCTTTTATAGAAAAATAACCTCCTCTTGACAGCAAAGCTTGTTACTTCTACCTTTCAAAGGCAAACAAACAAACAAACAGTTGTGCATCTGTGCCAGGTGTTTTGTATTATTTGATTACTTTGTGCCAGGAAGCTCATGTAATGAACACTTGGAAACTTCACTGCCAGTGTTAATAATGCAACTTGCATATTCTGTTTCTCATTTTAGTCTGATCCTTCTCCTACAATCATGTACATTATGTATATAAATCTGCAGTTTAGGGAACTCTTATCCACAAATGCTCACACAGAAATCATTCTGTTGAATCTGAAAGGTGTCATAAGACGTGGCTTTTTATTTTGCTTTGTTTTGTTTTTGTTACATATGCTGAACAGACTAGCACAGTTACCTTTTTGAAAATTAAATAAAAACCAGTGATATCCTTTAATAAGGCTAGTTTAAATGAAAATCAAAACATATTTCAAAAAGTATTCACACTGGAGATCTGAATCCTATTGAGTTCCTACTCCAGTCCTCTGAAGATGCCGGCCACAGAGACTGGTGAAACGTCAGGAAGAACAACCTTCAGAACATGGCCAAAGAGCCCGAAAAACCCACAACAACCATTGCAACAAAGGGTTTTTAAGTTATGATTTTTAAAAAAATAAAATTAATCCACCTCCCATGGAAACAAGCGACTCTAAATATCCCCAAATTTAAAATATCTCATACAAACTGAAAATACCAATCTTGCTAATCTTGAAAAATAATGGTTGGTACCACCCATTTTTTTTAATTTGGAAAGAAGGCTGCAAGGACTGAAATATTGATCTTCAAAAGAGACCTTTCAAATGGGGAAAACAGTGACTTTGTTATAAAAAGAACATGCATGGTACAGATTTGCTAGGCAGATTATAGTGTACCATTCACACTTGTTCTAAAACAGACCTGACAATTGTTTTGTGTTTGAATGAGAAGTGGTTAACTGATGAAAAAAAGAAGCTTCTTGGATTTTCCCTTGCATGGTACCCTTTGTGAATGGTAGTAAGCACAAGAAGGTATCCTATAGACCATCTTGACTGCTGCCACTGGTGTTATGAACATTCAGTTTGCCCTTTATTATGAACAGCAATGGTCCCCAAACTTTTCCAAACTGCGGACTGGTTTAGGAGGGCCGGCATCTGCGCATGGGTGGGCGGGGCACCCGTGCGTGCATGTGCGGGTAGGTGGGGCACCCATGCATGCGTGTAGGGGTGCGTTTGTGTGTGTGTGCATGCGTGAACAGTGTGTGTGTGTGTATGGGGGGGTACATGTGTGCGTGCATGCGGAGGTGGGTGGGCGATCTGTCTCTGGTATCGGGCCATGGACCAGGGGTTGGGGACCCGGGGTGTAAAGCTTGGCATCCTTTTTCCTGTTGGCAGCATGGGCACAATACTATGCAGCAATATTAGGCCATTTCCTGGTGCTTTGAATCCTGGGTACAGAAGCATAATATTCAACATTTATAAATCGGATGTTTTTTAAAGAACTGAATCTGAAAGCATACATGGCAGTAACTGTGGTAGTGGCATGGGGCAACTAGTATGCACTAGGGGCACTAGTATGCCCTATCCCTCATGCATTTTCCACACCTAGAAGACAGACTTTTGTGTTCACTATGAAGGTCTCCAGATGTATTTGTAAGGGAGTCCAGATGAACATGGTTACAGTTTTCTTCAGTTAAATGTGCTTACAGGAACCTCTGGAGAACTTCATTACTTCTGCATTACTTCAGGTGATATTTAAAATACCTAGCGGCAAGGCTTATGTGAGCATTGTGATCCCCTATCTTACAACAATCCTACATGTTCTCTGGCTGAGTCCTTTCTCTAAACCACAATAAACAAAGAAATTTTTGTACACATACTGCTAATTATACAGCACATGGTTTTTCATATCCAGCATGAACAGATATGAAATCAGAAATGAGTTACCATGGTTAAATGCATTCAATACACATACCTAATCCCAGAAGGTAATTCCTTTTCTTTTTTCAACAAGAAAATATATTGAAAATATATTTCCCCCAAGAAGAAACAACCACTCTCAACCATAAGTATTTCAGGAACTTTCAAACAAGAAAAAGGCATGAAATGTTTTCTATGCCAGTGGTATTCTTTTCTTTTCCTCTCTCTCTTAAAAAATATTTCCAATAGCAGAAAGGGTTTCAAGCATACATATGCTAAAATTATTTTTAACATGAATTTTAAAAAATTGGAAAACAAAATTATTGCTATGAAACAGCAAAAAGCAGAATTTAAGCTCACCTTCATTGTAGCTTCTTATTCAACAAAAGAAGTCCACCAAACCACTCCGTAAAAAGTAATATAAAAACAGGATGTTCAGAGACTTCTGTTTCCTGTCAGACTGAGACTAACTGGGATACTTGAAGTAAGCTCATTGGTTTGTCCTGACAGGCACATCATCATCATCTATATACTTTACCTAGACTCTATCAGTCAACAGGAAGCCAAACAATGGGATACAGAATAAGAGAGCAGGAAGGGATGAATATGTTTATATAGTGATTTTATGTCATATGAGAAATTCTCTATATGAAGAACAGAAAATTGTATCACAGACAAAAATTAACCAGTTCTTAAAAATTAAAGTACATAACTAACAATTATCTATAGAAAAGTATTATTTATGATGCCAATGTGTGGGCATGTGTAGAAATAGAGACACGTGTACTCTTTAGCTTAAAAAATGAACAGTGAAGTAATATTTATGTATCTATTTGTTAGATTTGTATCAGTTCTTTCCACCAATGAGCAGAAGGCCATACAGAAGAGTGCCTGCTTCTCTGGGAGCATGAGTAAACATTTCCATCTACAGTGGTGCCCCGCCTGACGACGATAATCAGTTCCAGGAAGA